TGGAAAGTATTATTATCCCCATTTTTCCCATGAGAAAATCAAGGCTTTAAAAGGGGTTGCAAGTCTTGCTCAGAGCCTTAGAGCTAGGAAGTGGCAGGGGCAGGTGTGAGCTGAAATCCCCCAGCTAATCTCTGAGTGTGTCCTGGCACAGGTACCAGCATAGTGTAAAGTTCAAATTGAAACCCAGCAGGTGCAGTAACAAATGCTAAAGGGGCTAACCCAGTTGTGTAGGATTCCCTGATTTTTAAAAAAATATTCCTTCAAAAGGAAAGGAAATCCCTCCCATTTTTCAAGTGTTGAGAGTCAACCTAAACTTAAGACCCACCCACCCACCCACAGGTGAGCAGTAACAGTCTGTAAGGGCCAGACCTGCCTGCACCATGGTCTCAGCCTGCTGGCGCTAATAGCAGTGAGTGTTCATGAAAGTAGAAAGAGTGTTCATCAGAACTGGCTGTGTATTCTGTGCATCTCTTTAAGGTCATGTAAGAAAGTTCTTGCTGCCTGGTCACAGCGCCCTGAATGTCCTCTACTACAGACTGAATCTCTGTCTTGTTTAACACCAAATACATGTTCTAGCCTTGCTCTTGAGTCCAGGAGCCCAGCGCTTCGTAAACATTTATAGTAGCATTTGCAGCGTGCATTCCTGGGAGGTGCTGCTGTTTGTTCTCTCAACATCCCTGAGAGATAGGTAGCAGTGTCCCCTTTTACAGAAAAGGGGCAAAGAGCTGCAGGAAGATGTTGAAAGTTGAAGGCACGATCAGAAGGGGAAGTGGAGCATATAGCTTGGTGGGTTTTTTTTTTCCACCTGCTCCTTTATTAAGGCCTCAAGGAGTGTATTTGCTCATGAAAGTTGGCACTTCTCCAATGACTCAATTACTGGCCAGGCCATGAGCTCCGGGACTTCCTAGTGGCTTCCTCCCAGAGCATGCTTAGCGACCCTCCCCGCTCCCCAGCCTCCACTGCCTCCTGCATCTCTTTGGGCTTCAGGCCCCTCTTAACAGAAATTAAAATGCCCCTACTTCCCTAAAGGGACTTCTTATTCCTGAGAATCTAGGAACTTGAGAATTCAGGTAAACCACAGGAATAAAGTTAAAGCAAATTATTTCAGTAATTAAGTATGAATATCATGTGTATTTAAGCAAATCTGTTACCTGGATGTAAAAATGCAAGCCAGACTGGCTTTATCGGACCAGCCAGCTGCACAGATACGCAAGTCCCTGGCCGTACTGGGCCAACTTGGGAGCTGCAGCTACTGACTTGAGTCTCTGCCTAGGAGCTGCAAGGAGAACATTCTTGCTGAGATAGAAACTGTGAGAGGGGAGGCCTGCCCTCCAGGCGCTAGACAAACAAGCAGGGTGCCTTCTGTCCCGGGAGTGTTGCGTAAACATAGGCAGCTGGCAGACTCCCAGCTCCAAGTTTCTGGTGTATCAAAGTCACCCCTGATTAAGGGGTGCATTGTAGAATGTTCAGCAATGCCCTGAATGTCTGTAGCTCAAATTAATTGGAAGCATGTCCTTCCCTTGGCGCCAGCAGGAAGGGTGGCATTCAGAGGGAAACGGCTTAGGAGCTGGGTTCCTTTGAAGCAAACAAGCTTTTCTAACTTCAATTGCCTCATGTATAAAATGAGGAGAGATTGGCAGTGCCCATTCAGGACTGCACAAGGCTTGATGGGATACTGCATATGAAGGCAATGTGTGCGTGCTCTCAGATTCCACACAGACATCAGGTGCCATTTGCCTTGGAAGCACTTCTGGATGCAAAAACAAATCAGGCTCTTTGCCTGCCTGCTAGCTCCAGCAAGCAGCGAGACATCCCTGCTGTTGGGGGAAGACCAAAGCAAGCTCTCTAAGGGCTCAGGGTTGCTGGGAGGGTCAGGCTTCGGCAGCCTCTCTGGTTCTGGCTCAGCCCAATCCAAGGGGAGTTAGAATAGCTGCTGGTGGCAAGACCCCTGCCCCTGGAAGCTTCTGTAACTTCTAGGGCAGCCCGCCTCTTCCAGCAGACAGCAGGTAGTTCAGCACGCCTGCTTCCTGCAAAGAGCTCCTCAACTTGAAAAGTTACAGCTTGGGTCTGGCTGCCCCTCAGGAAGAATGTTAGACCCAGAGATTCTGTTCTTTTCCAGGAGCTTAGGGTATGCTTTGTCATGGTGGTGACCAGTAGTACCCCTTGAGGTTGACTTCCCAAAGCTGTCGCTATAAAGGTGTTCAGTGTTATTGTGCTCAAGCAGTGTGTGAAGCTGGCATTATCACCCAGCTGCCGAGTGAGGTTGTGCATATCCTGCCAGAAGGATAGAAACTTGCAGAAGAACCATTGGAGTTAGAGCTGGCAGTCCCAGAAGGGTGACCAAGCAGGAGGAGTTGCACTACCTCTTTGCCAAAGAGGATAGCATCTGATTCCTCATGAATGTTGGCTCCGAGGAGGCAGGGGCTGCCTCTGTCCCACCCATTTACTCTCAGCACACGCAGGGTACCTAATATTGGTAGCACTCCATTAAAAATGTGTTGCATGCCCTTAGGCGAGCCTGAGGCCTGCAAGAATTCCCAATGGATGGGACCTGGCCTGCATGAATTTTTAATTGCTATTGATTTTAGTGATGACTGTGGATAAAAGACCTCCCTCCTTTCTGCTGGATGATGAGCTGCTCTTCAGTTTGAGAGGGATCTGCCCAAGCATTTGATAGAGTCTGCCTTTGGACTATTGACTTCCAAGCTGCACAGGTGGGAGCAATGATTGACCTAGTCATACATGTCCTGTCTGCATTTGCAGGAAAGCTTGGAAACTTTTTGCCCTGGGAAAGTTGAGAAGCATAGAATACTTGCACTATTCTCATGCAGAGGGAACTTTTAGCAAGTGCTGAAGGTGTGGTCTGGAAGCCACTCCACGGAGCTTCATGTTTGCACTCTGGAGGTACTGGCTGGCAGGAAAACCAGGCTGTAGTGAGCTGTAGCCAGCTTGCCCTGAGCCAGGTCACTGCACGTGTCCAGGCTGAGGTTGGCCACTGGTTCTGTCACATATGCGACGGTTAGGCGAGCACTGCTCTAGGAGCACAGAAAGGAGCTGGGCTGCACCAGGCCAGGCCAGGTATGAGCCCAGTCTTCTGGGCGGGGTCACTGGGGCTCTCCTTTGGGTGGGGCAGGATGACTAAGGAATCTGAGAAAGAGGCAGCCAGTCTGGAAGCATGCCGAAACAAGGACACGCAAAGCTTCTGACAAGGCCAGGCCACTCTGCCCTGCCACACGCTTCCTCCTCCTGGGCCCCTGGACTGCCAGGGCTTCCTATTCCTAGAGGAATCCTCTGGTCTTTCTTTGCCACCCTGGCACTACAATATAGCAGGATTGCTTGGGATCATGCTAAAAAGAGCTGATGGCCCTGTTAGACTGTCTGTCCCACCTAGACCCTATCAATCAAAACCCTCGAGTTCACTGGGACCAGGCAGAACATACAGGGAAGCAGGGAATTCCAGTTCCTTGTGCTATGTGTGACCCTTCTGGATAAAAACAACAGCAGCTATACTCTGCTTTGTTGGTCTTGCGCTGAGCACCAGAAGTGCATCGGTGAATGGAACTGTCCACTGAAAAGCCCTTGGAGAGGTGTCAGGGAATCCTAATATTGCAAATGACAAAACTGGGGTCCTTGGAGGTGGCCAGCCAGCAAATGGTGAGTCTGAAGCTTGCAGATGAGGCTGATTTCAAACCTCTATGTACAGAGCATGGTTTTATTTGTGCATGTCACCCAAAGCTACCTCTGACCTAGTATAACTCCCTCCCCCGCAACCTACCCATCCTTGAACTCAGTCCCTTGGGCACATCCTGTCTTATGGAACTCTGTGTGGACACCTCGGAGCCTGTGGATTGCTAGTGCTTTTTGCAGCCAGCCTGTCTGGTCTGGCAGAATTGCTTCGTGCAGCCACAGCCCCTCCAGAAGGTTGAATCAGCCTGGGATTGCTGCCGGCGCCACCGTGCCCTGTGACTTTGCTGAGCCCTTGCATAGAACCGGGAAGGCACACCTACTGTCCACCTGCTCTCATGAGTCATAAAGCTGCCACACTGCTACCAGGCCTGCCAGCTCCGCATTTCCCTCCAGCCACCACCATGCCAGGAATAAAGTTAGCCATATATGGCAGGGCCATCAGGCAGCACTTGTTGCCAGGCCTGTCTTCCTCTTAAAATGTGTCATTGGGCGACCAGACAAGTGAAACCTCAAATCCAGGATGTTTCTGTTGCTTTATGCCAGATGGCTGGGGAGACAGGGCAGCCTAGAAGCCAAGGGCTCAGGCCACAAAAGGGACTCAGCCCATTTAGGGGCAGGGGGTGATAACAGGATTAGCAAATACACTGGATGCCAGAATGAGGCCAGAAAGGGGTCAAAGGAAAGAAGGATCATTTAGATAGCTCAGGCTCTAGGATTCTCCTGCCTCTTGTCAGCATTGCCAATACCTCTGCCTATTGGTGAATGACTTCTAGCTGAAAGGTTGTGAAGACTTCTTTACATGGCTCACTAACATTCTCAAAGTGATTGCACATTTACACAGTACCTAAAAACACACTCTTGGTGCAAAGTTCTCTGAAGGAACTCTGTCTCCCCACCCCGCTCAGTGCTGCCAGGGCTTGCATCAGCCTAATAGTTGGGTAATATAACTCAAAAGAAATAAAAGCAAACCTTCCATTAAAGTAAGTTACAGTCACATTAATCAGGCATGTAATGTGGCTTGTAGTGACCAATGCTCATTTTTGCTGGAGGCCTTCTACAAACTGTATGTATTTTTGTGTATTTATCTGCTCTTATAACATCCTAGAGAAAGCTACTTGAATGCTGTGTGTTGAGGGGGCATCAGTTAAGCTGTTAGTTTTGGGTTTCTGTGAACTGAAGATTTACAAAGATGCCCAAAAAGGTTATGATGAGTGTCGAGAGTGCATCTGGCTCCCTTAATGCAAATTGTATTGTCTAACTAACTTGAGAATGGCTGTTAGTCACCTCTAAAAAATGTGCTCCTCCGATTTCAGGTGAAACCTGATTGAAGATGTCCAGCAAGACAGCAAGCACCAACAACATAGCCCAGGCAAGAAGAACTGTTCAGCAGTTACGATTGGAAGCCTCCATCGAAAGAATAAAGGTAAGAGGTGCACTTAGTCCCCCTGCTCTCCCACGCTGGGCCACAGGTCCAGGAAGATGGCGTCCAATTCAGTTGCCACCCAGCAATTTTTTTCTAGAGCTAGCTAAGAATGTTGCTCAGTGTTTTAGCTTTCATTTCCTACCTAGCATGGTCCTCATTTCCAAAGAGCTGGGAAACTGGAGTGTGTGTTCACCCCTCTGAGAAACCCCAGACAGGATATCCTGAAGCTCCACTTCCCCACCTGGTCCAGTCCAAGGATCATGGTGTGTGAATCAGGACAAGTGTTCCTGGTGGACTCTACAAACACTCTAGTCATCCCTCTGGAATTTATGAAGTGTTCTAGAGCTACCAAAGTAACTGAAATGGCTTTGCATAATAAGTCAATAGTCAAGACTCCTTTTTAGGAAAATGCAGCTTTTTGAAATGTATATGGCTGTCTGGAACCTCAGTGATAGCTTTAGCTGTGATCCCCTGGAGATGCCAGATAGCACTTCTTAGGTCATCCAACATTGAAGTCATTCCTCCCAATCCTGAGAGAAGAACTGGCAGTGAGAACCCAGGAATGTTGTGAATCAGGCAGTTTCCTGGAGGCTGAAGCCATCACCTGATAAATTCCTGTGGACCCGTCTCCACAGCGTGAGGCTGCTTGTACTACACTTGACACCATTCAGCTACCCAACACTGCTTGCTGGGACACTGATCTGATGATCTGATCTCCCACTCAGATCTCTGAAACACCTGTGAGAGCAAGGCTCTGTATGGCCCCTTGCAGGTGCTTGACTCCCTTTTTCTATTTCCCTGGTGTCCAGTTGTACATTTTGAAGCTCCACAACAATTTGGCTTCAGAGTTTGGGCTCCAAGCCCAACATGCCATTCAAATTCCAATCTGGTTTTTCCTTGGATAGAAATTAAGATGCACACTTCCTTTGATTCATGTATACTTCTCCTTCCCTGTCCACTTCAAACCCTACAGAGTTGTAACAATAAACCTTCCTGAAGGCTTTACCTAGATTCTCCAGCTAATCACATTTGGTCCTGTTGGCTTATTTGCCTTCTTTCCACCCCACCCTCCCGCTCCCATCCTCATCCCCACCTGCATTGGATTTTTTTCTTTAAGCCATTTGAAAGTGATTTGCAGTCCAGAATGATCTAACTGCAGTGTCCAATGCTTGCTCCATTTCTGAAGAATCCAGAGCCTTCATTTTGCACTATCATCTTTGCTGTGGAGGTGATTGTTTGCTGATGAGATTCCTGGTTAAATGCAGGAATGCTAGCTAGCTGGCTGGCAGGTCATCTATCCCCAGTGAAAACAAAAAATACATGTGATGCCAGCCTCTCTGGGCACTCAGCCTGAGCACTTGCTTAAGGAGAGCCAACCCTGTCCGATTGCTCCATTTGCCTTTTGACCTGGCACATCATCACATCAGAGGCTGTCATCCTCCGATCACCATGCATATGTCAGCCTTCCACCCAGCAGCTTTGCTTTGAAATACGCTCTTCAGGTTTGTAAGTGAAGTGTCTTCCTGGTTTGCTTTGCTCTGTCTCCATGCCAGGTTTCAAAGGCATCAGCAGACCTCATGTCCTACTGTGAGGAGCACGCCAGGAGTGACCCTTTGCTGATAGGAATCCCAACTTCAGAAAACCCTTTCAAGGATAAGAAGACATGCATCATCTTATAGTGAGATCATGAAAACCGTTCCTCGCCTCCTGTCTCAACAAAGATGATGAGCAGCTCCTGGAAGAGATCCACCTGTGGCTTATTTGGTAACCACTGCTAGTAACTAAAATGCTCAGAACTTGGAATGATGGACTCTAAAGTCTTTATTTTTTCCAGTTGCCCTTTCTCTAAAATGCTTCTCACTAATCTAATACAGAGTAACAATCTCTTTTTCCATTTGGTGACTGTGGTGTTGTATTGGGTCACTGTTTAGGGAACGCTATTGTAGGCCTTTTAAAAAAACACAATTGCACACTTTAAATATACAGTGGATTCAAATATGCCATAAACTGCCTAAGCACCTGTCAAGTTAAAATGTCAAGAACTTGAATCCTAAAACCTTTATATCTTACTGTGCTCTTAATAAAGTTTGTACCACCCAGTATAGTATATAAGGAAAGAAGGATGTTTTGTGTATATATGTATATGTATGCCTATATGTATACACACACCAATGCTTATTTCCTTATTAAAGCATCCCTCTTTCTATACCATCATTTCCTCAGCTTCAGAAGTCATCCTTTCTTCTTGAGCTGTGTGTAGATAGAATAAAACATCCTTTTTTGTTTAGTTACTATATTTAAAAAAATGAATGAACATCCTAAAGATTGTATTCATGGCAGTTAAGCAATGCACTCATCTCTCGTCTTTCCAACTTGTGCTGGGCCTAAATAGGCTGCAGTGAACTGTGCCAACTTACACTCCAGGCTTCTTGATCATGAGTTACCCATTCAGCAGGAGCCTTTGGGACTTCATTGTTTCTAAGCCTAGGACAAGGGGAAAGGAAACCTCAGGAGGCCCCTGGGCAGCAACTGTGGTCCTAGGACTCACAGTCTCTCCTGGATTAGGATTAGAAACCTCTGGAAATTCCCCCCTGATGACTAGAAGAGGACAAACACACTGAGCCCAGTGACAGGCAAATAACAGCTCTTCTTGGACAAGCCTGTGGCTCAGCCCTCGCCTCTCCTCCCTGGGACCTCTTTTCCCACTCTAGCATCTGTTTTCAGAGGTAGCATTCCCCTCCCCAACCCCAGATGGGCAAAACACAGTGGGCAAGAAACAGACACAAAATGTAAGCTAACTTCACTTGCCTATAAATGCTCCCACAGGGGCCCAAACCATACAGTAGACCTTGGGTATTGTCATTCCATTTATAAAAAGTTACTACCAATGGAAGATTAAAAATGTATTCTTTAAAAAGGATTTAACCCCAACAAGAAGTTATCTAAGACAGATTTTCCAAATCCTGTATCAGCTGCCCTTAAAAGCCAGCCATTTTAAAAATCTAATATCTAGACTTTGAGGATGGCATCAACTGACACATGTAATCCTCTTCTACACTGCTCAGATCCATTCAATGCTTCTCCATGTCACACACCTACGTGGCCTTGTGAGCCGCCCCCAGCTCTTCAAGAGCACGTGAAAGCCATGCACGGCCCCTTCATCCTGTATCATCAGCTGCTGGACTCCGTCACATGTCCCATTCCCTAGTAAGCCATAGGCACCTATTTAAGAGAGAGGAAGTTTCATGTTTTCCAAAAGTGAAATTTAAAATTTACACCATCAAGATATCTTTTTACTTAATGCTTCAGTTAATGAGACATTCTTTTTTTAATAAATATATTTTTCTACTGATCGTTTCAGAACACTAACCTTATTTTCACTCTTAGCATGTCTCTTTAAATATTTAAATGCAGCTTATTACAAAATATTTTCAGTAAATTACTTGATTATTTCATTGTGCACACATTATTGGTAGCAAACATAGCTTATCTTCTAGTACTGCAACGTGCTCTTTTACCTATTACTAAACAAATCATTTGCTATATATTTGTTAATATGCATGTAGCGGTAAGAAATAACTTCAAATTCCAGGAATTTTTATTTTATATTCACTGGTCAGATATAATAAAAGCTATGAATATAAATGTCATGCAACTTCCAGGCAGGTATACAACATGTCTATAAAAAAAAATAGAAGCAAAATTCTTTGATGCTGGACCCGATAAGGCACAAACTGTAGCCAAATATTACCTTACTTATAACTAGACGTCTATGTGAGAAAATATAATGTATGTATGTGAAAATCACTTTTATTTATAGGGCTCTGTTCTACCTATGAACCGCAGTGTAGCCAGCTACAGCAGCTGATTCTCCTGATGGACAGATGTCCAGTGTGTGTTAGCATTTCTAACTGCCACTGTCCTGACACGCTCAGATACATATTGGTAACTTCTTGGATTCATTTCCTTGAAACTAGTTAACTCTGCTCAATAAATTTTATTATTCACCTGCTTCTATTGGCAGTGATCTTCTTTTTTTTTTTCATTCTTATATCTTATTAGTTCATCATAAATCTGTCCAGTTGAGGCCTCAGTGCTGTGGCAACAATGCTAGATTAGAATTTCACACCTCCAAAATATTTTGCAGAAATACCTTTTTCTTAATTAAAAAAAACTATATATGTGTGTGTGTGTGTGTGTGTGTGTGTGTGTGTGTGTGTGTGTGTGTATACACACAACCAGTGGGAATTACCTATAAACTTTTTTTCTTCAACTAGCATATCAGGTTGTTTTTTCAATTCCTTACCTTATTAAAATGAAAAGTGCCATACTTTACTTTTTAAAAGAAAATTTTGATGCCCTTTCTCTCTGTTGAGATTGTTCTTGTATCTTATTGATGTTTAAACTATAAGGAAAAAGAGAACTTCATACCAAGGGTTTAGTAACTTTCAGAGATACATAGTCTAGTTTGTATAGATGCAGGTGTGCCAAATTTTCTCTTGAGCTGCCACTGTTTCAGCCAGTATATAGCTAAGACTGACTTGCTGCTCTGAATTTTTGAGAGATTTAAGAGCCCAAGAAGTGAATTCCCTTACATGTCAGCCATTTCTCCATGAAATGAATTGTAAAAAGTACATTGATTTCATTTATGCTAGACCTATTAATAGGAAAAACTGTATTGAATCAAATTGAATTATATGTGTGAGTCAAGGTAGAGCAGGGACCTATAGTTGGTGTCCTGGGCCATTCTGTAGCCAGTCGTGCATCCTGTGGCTGTGGGATATACAGGCATCCTTCAACTCTGTGGGCCTCCATTTCTCCATTTATAAAACAAGGGGCTGGACATAGACAGTGGTTGAGAAACCTTTGCGACCTAAGATGCCTTGGTCCAGTGACCCCACCCCTCTGCTGGTTCTGCCAACGTGTTGGTGCTATAAGCTGCTTCAGATACAAAGTGTGTTTGTCTATAATATATGCTCATTTAACTGCTTCTCAAAGACCTTTTTGTTATATAGTGCTTCTTTTCTAATTCAAGGACTTGTTTCCTGTAATGTTATATTGCTTTTAGCCAAAAACTACAAACAAGTGTTCTCCTGATGTCTCAGTAAATTTACATTTAATATGTCCTTGGTGAGATTTTATGATTTTATAACATTCTTTGGCTACTCATCTGTCCAGCATCTTATCTACCTTGACACTGTGATCATTGTCTGGAAATCTGTCCTTTGGAATGAATAAATGCATCTACTTCACAGCTAGCATGTACACAGATTGGAACTTTTCATTAAAAGCACCATTGCATTCTTTACTGGGTCAGTGTCTCATTGTATCATCCTACCCATGTTTTGATCAATAAATTAATAAAAGACTATTTTCTAGTTTTCTTTCATTCATTCAATTAACATTGTGTGAATACCTGCTGGAAACAAAGTGCTAAAAATTAGGCTGTGTGACTTATCCCCCAGCCTGTGAGAATATCACAGCCTGGAGGAAAGATGGGCACGGCGACAGATAATTAACTGACCATTGAAGCACTATGTGAGAAGCACCATAAACCGGGTGGACACACAGTGCTGGGAGAGCACAGAGGGAGGAAGAAGCAGCTTTTGGAGGGCTTCCAGGGGTGGTGAGGTTTGAAGTGGGACTTGAGAAAGCAGAAAGAGACATGGAAGATTTGGAGGAGCTGATAGAAGGAAGAGCAAAGTAGACTCCAAGCTAGTGTGCAGGTTTCCTATACTACGGGTCTCTGTCCTGTAAGCAACAAGGAAACTCAAAGGTTGTTAAGGAGTGACACAATGATTCCCAGTGTGTGGAAAGCTGTTTCCCAGGCAGAAACCCAGCTGTGGCCATGGAAACAGATAACAAATGGAAAGGTCATTAGACTGCTGGGGTGACTCATCCACCAAGTGTGTGCTGAAGGTACCCGGCCTCCTCCTCTGTCCATTCCCACAGAGATGAGAGGGCATCGAACTCCAAACAGAAAAGATGGGGGAGGCAGCTACCAAGAACCAGCTTATGAGCTGAGCAAGCTGCAGGGGTGGTCCTGCCTTTGAGAATATGTAAGGTAAAGATAGGAACAAAGACCATCACTCAAGTCACCCCTTCCAGTGAAGAACAGAATTTAGGTACTTTGATTATGAAAATTAGACAAAAACTGACACACACTTTGACGAGTTTTGAGCAAATTATTCAAAAATCTTGTGACTCTCAGTGGTGAACAGCTGTTTTGGGGGTGGTGGGTGGGATTGGGTAGGAGGGTCATGCAGCTGAAAAAGCTGAAGTATGTAAGTAAATATGGCAGGTGGAATGTACCATCTTCATGTTAGGAATGAGAAACTCAAGACCTGCTCGTATTGATGGGAGCATGATGTGGCCATGCAAGACACATGGGCTTCTAATTGTTCCAGACTTGGGCCATAATTGGTTTTGCCTTGTTTGATAACCTGATCAGTTACACGCCAGCACACATTACTCATTATAAACTTTTTTATTGGGCCTACACAGACAGTCGGTCTTTGTCCCTTCCTCCTGATCCCCAGGGTTCCAGTATTTTACCTTACAGCTCCATCTAACCATCTTTATACAACCTAGTCCTACCATCAGCTCAAGCTATAGCATTGGCTGGTGCCTTTAGTTTGCTTTTCAGGCTGTGGCCTTACTTGTTATACTATCCCTTCACTACTGTGAGCAGCAAATAACTTGGTCTTCGGGTGAGCCTTCCTCCAGTTACTGTCTCCTTCACTGAGTCATTCAAATCTAATAAGGCCATCTCACTATAGGCCAGCCTTGGGCAAACAAGTACAGCTAGTCGCCTGAAGCCTTCTCTCAATGATCCATGTTTTCAGAAACCAGGAATTTTTCTGCCTTAGAAGTAAATGTAATCCCAGTGAGTGCTCAAGTGACTTGCGGTTTCAATCTGTAGAAAATCATTGGAACTAGAAAATGCAACTGTGGAGAAAGCAGTATTTAGCACAAGGAATGGAATTTAATAGCTAAGTGCTACATATGAGGCTTCCTTAAACTCTTCAATTATGAAACTGAGTAAAATGAAATGCATGATAGTAAGATGCCATGATTAAAAGTTAAGAAATTAATAGCTGGGGCCTAGTGCTGTAGCACAGTGGGTTAGGCTGCACTGCCACACAGCATTCCATATGGGCACTGTTTCAAGTTCTGGCCGCATGTGGTGCAGCTCACTACTGATGTGCCTGGGAAAGCACCAGAAGGCAGCCCGAGTGCTTGGGCTCCGGTACCCATGTAGGTAGATGAAGCGCTCATCCAGCTCTGGCTATTGAAACCATTTGGGGTATGAACAGCAAACAGAAGGTATATATATTTTAAAAAAAAAAAAAAAAAACCTGCCTTTCCAGAAATAAAGGTAAATCTATTTTTTTAAAACCTACAGCTGGGCCCGGCGCAGTGGCACAAGTGGTTAAGGTCTTCGCCTTACACGCCCGGGATCCCATATGGGCGCCGGTTCTTATCCCGGCAGCCCCGCTTCCCTTCCAGCTCCCTGCCTGTGGCCCGGGAAAGCAGTCGAGGACGGCCCAAAGCTTTGGGACCCTGCACAAATATTGGAGACACGGAAGAGGCTCCTGGCTTCGGATCGGCATAGCATTGGCCGTTGCGCTCACTTTGGGAGTGAATCATCGGACGGAAGATCTTCCTCTCTGTATATCCGCCTTTCCAATAAAAAAATAATAAAAATACAACTTTAAAAAAAGAAAAAACCTACAGTTGACTGGGCCTGGCACAGTAGCCTAATGACTGAAAGTGCTCAGGATTCAGAAGCTTCTCTGTCTCCTACATGAGTACAGGATCCCAAGGCTCTGGGCCGCCATCAGCTGCTTTCCCAGGCTACAAGCAGGGAGCAGAATGGAAACTGGAGCAGCTGGGACATGACCCAGAGCCCATATGGAATCCTTTAGCCACTAGGCTACCATACCAGGCCCCAAAATAAAATCTTAAAAAAAAAAATTGAGACATCGGTGAGCAACTTTCTCCTTCTCTCTAGACCCAAATACTCTCCACCGCTCCACACATGGCCTCTGATTAATGATCAAAAAGAGAGCTTTATCCACTAAAAGACTTTAAATCTTGTCCTAACAGAGGACAGTAGCCATGTGGTGCCATGAGGTCACGTGGACGCATAAGCTCACGTAGGTGCTGAAAGATCACTTTGTGAACAAATGAACGGTAGCCTCTGACCAGCTCGTCGTCCCCTGAAGTCGCTGTAAGGACTGCCTTGACATATGCATGGCAGATTTAAGTAGCAAACATGAAACAAGTATACACTTTTGCTGTTTGGTAGTTGTATATTTTCCAGTGTATTAGAAAACTGTCTCAAGAAATGATGCAAAGTCTTGCTCTAAAATGCATTTAAGTCATTTTCACATCTGAGTATGTGACAGCACAAGGCACAGGCGAATAAAGAAAGTTGTAAAGGAGCCCTACAGGGTATCTGAAGTCAGCAGCCCTTTAGAGAATTATGTGCACACAAAGAATTGTGTGTAAAGCAGAGAGGTTCCATTTCTGCTTTTAACCTGGAAATGTTTTCCCAAGGCCAGTGCATCGTAAGTGCTTTGTTCGAAATAAACCTTGCAGTTCTGACATTGATGACGCACATTTCAATATGGACCATACAACATCTGTCAATATTTGCAGACATCTGTGCAAGGCACTGGAGGAGGAAAGGGCCTACCACTGAACTCCAGATAGGAGATTGGCAATGCTGTACATACTGTCCCGTTTAAGCCTTGTAACTCTTGAATAAGTAGACGTGATTTTACCCCATCATCAGGTGAGCAAACTGAGGCTCAGGGAAGCTAAGGTTGGCAGTTTTTCTCCAGTAATCGAGAACGTATCTTGGAACTTAAGAGTAAATAACAGTGGGGCCAGCATTAGTCGCACCATGGGTTTAGCTGCAGCTTATCAGAGTGCCAGTTTGAGACCAACTGCTGTGCTGAGCTCCCTGTGCATGCATGTAAGAAAGGGCTGGGTGGTTGTCCGAGAACTGGGGTCCCTGCTGTCCGTGTGGGAGACGTGGCTGGTGCTCCTCGTTTCTGGCTGTGGCCTGGTCCAGCTCCAACTACTGTGGGTATTGCAGGAGTGAACCAGTGCATGGAAGATTCATTTTTCTCTCTCTCCCTCTCTTCTTGTCACTCTATGTTTTCAAATAAATTAATCTTAAAGAAAACAGAATAAGCAATAGCAAATTCAGAACACTTACTACGACCAGCTACTGTTCTTAGCATTTTGTATCCATTTGGTTCATTCACACAATAAATCCATAAGGTAGCCACCATTATTAATGCTGACACTTTTGGAAATATCAAGGAATGCAAAAGTGTATTTGATATGCTTTTCCAAAACAGAGACTGTCTTTCATGGGAGTATGATATAAGAGAAAGAATACACTTGGGCAGTATGTTCCAAGACCCCTAGTGAATCCTGAAATAGCAACTGATATTAAGCCCTATGTATACTGACTTTCCCTATATGCATATCTACATTAAAGTTTATTCATTGTGCATAGTAAGATAATAATTAAAAATACAGCAGCAACATATCGAAATAAAAGATACTTGAAATTTTTGACTCACTTATTTCTAGAAGTTTCCATTGATTATTTTCTAGCAGTTGCCTGGGGTAACCAAAACCTTCAATGAAGGGGTCCTCCTGTGTTTTGGGTCTTACTGCCCCTGCTTGGTTGTGTGATCTTAGGTCACGTGTGACCTCTGTTTCCTCTTCTATTAGAAAACAACAGGACTCAGGCTAAGTAATTTTTTAACATTTCTCCTGGCTTTAAGTCTTATGTAAATCTGAGGGGAAAGCAATGCCTTCTCAGTTTCGGTAACTTGGTGGCAGAGGGGATTGTTTGGCTTTGTTTTTACCATCTCCACTCCCAAGTCATTTTTAATTTTCCTGCTTGAACTACAAATCAGAACCAAAGTCGAGATTACGGAGTCAGAGAAGGGATGTGCCTTGGCTGGGTGTAATTACAGATACTTAAAAGATATTTAAGGAATCACTTCCTGGTACTTCAGCTACTGACTCCTCAGCAGGACTGGAAAGAATTTTTAAGGTGAAATAAATTGTAGAAAAGTGTTTTAAATCAGCATTGACTACTTGCAACTAAGAAATCAGTGAGCCAGGTTCTTCAGCACAGCACACTTTTAGTGCCTTATGAGTTCATAAAACGTAGCTATCAAGACTGGTGTCCACTCAAATATTAAATGTGACTGACATGGCAAATGTCTGTTTTTCGCAGCAAAGCAAGAATTCAGTCACTCACTGAGCTCCTACT